TATAAGTTAAGAGATTAAAAAGGTGTATATTTGAATAGATTTAATGAATAAACTAATAGAATGGCTAAAAAACTATATTTTTTTATAATTGAAGATAAAAAATACTTAAATAAATTGATAAACGTAAAATTGTGCAAAACTCTAAATCTAAGGGTCCAAAATTGGCTTTTAATCTAACTTTTAAGATCAAAGTGGATTCTGGTTTTGGGTTGAGTTTAATTACTGGATCAAAATGGGCTAACAGGTTAAGGTAAGTTCTTGGGCTATTCTATGTTTATGAACTATAGGCCTGTTTACAGAACTTAATCTTCAACTTATTTATTTTCATATTTCTTAATATATATATATATTTGTATTTATGCCGCAATAAACATGGAGTAATATTTCTCATAAACTTTTTTTATATAGTATATTATTTAAAAATAAAATTTATAATTCTTAAATAATTTTTCATATATTTTTATTAATTTTAATTAATATATTTTATATATTTTTAGAATGATAAAAGACAAAAAAAAATTATAAGTTTTATGATGTACACCTTTTTTGAGATTTTGTATAAATAAAGATATGTTTTTTAAATTTTAATAATTAAAGATATGACTGTAATTTTCTACTTATTAATTAGAGCTGCTAATTACTTTTCAAAAATTTCTAATAAAAATATGATTTTTGTGATTTTATTAAACAATAATAAAGTAGATGTGCATGTACTTAGTTTTCGCAACTTGATGACTATAAGTCTCGTAGTAAAATACACCACATAGTCCAAGGATTGGGATTCGAATCCTTTCTCCCCAAAATATAAACCCATTAAAAAAAAAATGATAATAATAATAATAAAGTAGATGTGCATGTTTACGCATCTAATGGCCTCAGTTGACTCTCATTAAGTTATTTTGACAATATTTAAAATACTTAAAAAAAGTCTACGCTTTGTAATTTAGATGATATAACAATATCTTTTTCAAAGAAAATATTTTTTTTTTTTATCTTGTGCCTTTAAAACATGGAATAAGTGTGTATTTATTATATTTTATTATTATTATTTATGTATTAATTAATATAAAAAATAAAAAATTAACATTAATTTTAACGTTTATGACACACAAATATTTTTTTATTAGATAATTAATAAAATTAATATTAATTTTTAATTTTATTATATATTAATAATAATAATAAAATACAATAAATACACGTTTATTCAATTCTTTAGAAAAACCCTTAAAAGAATATTATTGACTCTCTTGGATATAGGAGTAGGCTCTTTCACCTATTTTGAAAATTTTTCCAACGAACAATTCTTCTGGCCCAAGGGAAGCGACTGGTGATGTTTTAATTACTGGTGGTGGTGGCAACTCAACAGGTAGGGGAGGACTTCCTTCTAGGTTGTGCTGCTGACATCCATTACTTGGGATTTTTTTATTTTAATCTTGCAATTTTATTCAAGTTGGGCGTATTTATAAACAGTTCTCATCTGCAGAACGGGCATGGTATCATGCCATTCCAAGAGCCGTACGTATGTACTGATTATTTTATTTAATTATATCATGTGTGCACATTCGGATTCAACACTCGGATGTGCACATTCCGCATAAAAAAAAAAAATGAAAAACACCCGGTTCATTTTTTTTTTTTTTATGCGGAGTGTGCATATCCGGGTATTGAATCTGGATGTGCATCAATCATGGTTTTTTATTTAATTATAAGGACAACTCTCTTGAGTATTGATTAAGGGTAAGCATTCACGGCGATAAGTTGGATATTAGCCATGTCTAGTATTTAATTTGAAAATTTTTTTATTTTAACTTTTTAAAATTAGTATCTACCTAATTACTTATAGATCTATATTTAGTATCTAATTCAATGAGTACTAAATAACTTACAGATATAATTATATTATTTTTGAATATTTTGCTTCATTGAGAAATATACTAAATTTTACATTAATACTAAGAGTGATTCAAGACTTCTTTATCACTTGAATTTTTAACCCAAAAAGAAAAAGGTGCTTTACACTAATTATTAGATTAAGAGGGAATCTTAATATTGGAGAAGCCAATAAGAGTCTTTCCATCCAATAATTAGTGCTTTTTAATTAGATTACAAATCATCAAACCTAATTTTTAATCTTCTCAAGGTGCAACCACACTTTTGACTTACCGTCCTTCGCATTTGTTGTATTAGAGGCACCAACAGTGTGCTTTTGTTTCGCTGGTGGATATGATTCTTCCCAAAGAATGGGTCAAGTTGAGTTACACACACGGTCAATGAGTATGTAGAATATATATGTGAGATCCATCAACCTGATAACCATATATTTTAATTAAGTTGACATCTCTCTGTATGTGCTTCACCTCACTCACCTGAACGTTTACCGGCCCGGTTAACTCCAACAGCCTTGTTCCGGTAAAAGCTTGATTCGGTAGTACATGGACAACAATAATGGATAAAAGTAGCATGACTCATGCAAATGGAAGACACCTCACCTTCCTTAGAGATTGGCCAACATGTAGAGGTAAGACATTGCATCATGCATGCTGAAAAAAACCATGCGTGAACTTTATTTATTTAGTATTTGTTTTATAATTCATGCGTCAACCTTAAGGATAAACTTAGGGTTTATATATGTTTTTTGCAAAGCTTATATATGACAATTTGTTCTTTCTATAATTTGAAAACTTTTAAGTTGGAGGAAAAGCCTACTTTACTTTTGAGCATTTTTAAAATCTTTGTTCTTGTTTGATTGATAAAATTATAGTTATTTCTTGGTTAAATTATAAAAATAAATTAAATTTAAGAAAAAATTTTAAGAAATTAGTAATAGCTAAACTTTACTGATAATTTTTCTAATAAGATAATTAAGGATGAATGAAGAATATGCATGTTTTATTACTTTATAAATAATATATATTTCTTGATTATTTATTAATGTAAAATAAAAATTAGACCTTATCGCTTAACAATTCCTAGTTTTCTATGAAAGTTTTTTCAACTTTAGTTTGTTTTTCTAATTTGATCTAGGAATAACTATTGCTACCAATTGCCCCCAAAAGGGTGCTTTAAGTGGTTAGGAAATTAAGATTTTAAGTTGGAAATCTTAAATTCAAATACTAAAACTAGTGAGGATGAATTAAAGAAAAAGAAGAGCTATCCTATATTATATAGTCTATAATCTAAAAAAGAAAAAGCCATTACCATCAACTAAATGAGCCTTATAAGTTTTAGAAAAAGCTCTATTTTAAAGTTTGTTGTAAAACTTGCTTATAAACTCTTTAATTAAATGCCAAAAAATAACTTTTCTCTCTTACAAAATATCAAATTTAAGAAAGGGAAAATGATACATTTACCTTACAAACTTATACATCCAATCACGTACTATCAGTCTAACTATTAAAATATATTTTTTTACTGTAGATTAGCTTATTCCTCGCTTGTTTAGGATTATAGCCCTCACGTTGAAATCCCCTCCACCTATTTCTCATCAAATCTCCTTCCAATTATGCAATCCTTTGGCTAAAATCTCTCCATAATCAATTCAAAAGTTGTGAAATTGCTACGCAGTAAGGTTTGTTTCTTTGGCTAAAATCCTTGGCTGAGTTATTTCTATTTGAAAGAATCACTACAGCAAGGTTTTTTTGCTCAAAAAGTATATTTATAACTTTCTTCTGATTGCAATTGAAGCAGGATGCACCAATTAAAGTGGTTGCACCAACGAATCCCTCTTTTGTAATCTTACCCATTCTATACCTGCACAATAATTTTCTTCCCTTTGAGGTTTTTGGAATTTAATGGGTTTTTGTTTCTAGGAATCTACTGTTAAAAATGTTGACTACGAGGTTTGAAGTGTAATACATTTATTGGGTGCTCCGATGATGAGACTGTTGGTAGCATCAAATCGGTGTTTAGCACCTTTTCTAATTGAGTGAAGTAGGAACCTATTTCCAATTTATTTGGTAATTGAGTATAGATGATATCTATGGGTTCGTGCGTTGGGTTAGATCTAGGTTCACAAGGAACGCAAATCATTTGGGTTTGTGCAAACACAGCATTGTGTTCACGCAAACCTAGTCACAGCAAGGGAGGGGGGAAGAGAAATGTAGCCAAAAATGGATATATAGAAGAAAGGTATTGGAAAAGTGCTAGGTTAATGGGGGAGAAGATAAATATGAGAGGCACTTATTTCCAATCTATTTGGTAATGAGAATAGATGGGTCAGTAATTCAGCCCTTATTCCAAATTGACTAATAAAACGTATTTTATAGGGTGTGTCTCACTAGGTGTTGAATCAGTGGATGTTCTTATTAGCATCCAAGAAAGAAAAAATTATTTATTAATTTATAAACAACTTAAAAAATAAACTTCATCAAACACACCCTTATTCTAAACATGTTTAACCATGATATCATACATAGGAAAGTTGAATGTCTACTACTACTCTTCATGAAACGAATGGACTCTTATGGTGTGTTTGGCTGGAAAATGTGAGCCAGAAATTGGCCAAGCCACATAGGACCAACATTCCTGAGTTTGAGGTTTGTCATACCAAACATAAAGTAACTTTATTTTATAGACAGAACTCATCGGAGAAATGTCTTTCCAGATACCAAACATATCTTTGGTGGGTTTTTTCTTTTTCTTTTTTCTTTTTTTTTTTTTTAAAGGAAATCATATCTCTTTCTTGTGTACGTGATGGGTTGCTTGAGCTAGCTTAGAAATTAGAAAATTTCCAAGTTCATCCATAACAATTATAAAGCAAAATTAAATAAGAGATTCCGATTTCTTAGTCCATACTATAAAAAAATTCAGCCCAAAATGCAAAATATCATAATAACCTTTTAATAATTCAAAATGTGAAAGACTTCATCAAGAGTTTCAGATCTCGAGCATTTATTTTTTGTGCAATACAAAATGAAAAACATATTGTAAGAATACTCTAATATTTTGAAATTTGTATTATAAAACAAAAATTATTAGATATAAAACAGTGTTTAATAACAGATAATTTCTCTTTATATAATAATTTAACTTGTGTAGTACACTTTAAACAACACCTTTTTGGCTGCAAGAAACAGAGAGTCACAAAGTTTTTTCTTATTCCTACGCACAACATATATGTGTGGTCAGTAGACTCAGTACAATACACCAATAGGCCAGAGTCATGCACAAAGGCGGCCCAAAATTATTCACCAGACACCCCCCTTAATTATCAACTACAGGTACTATAACAGTCTTAATTAATTATGGTTCTTCCTTTCCTTTATATAGATCTATAATTCATATGATCATTACGTAACTTTGGAGAGATGCTGATAATTAGGAGCAGGCACCTCAGGGTCCGGTTTCTCAACACCGTCAGTGTTCCTCACCCAAAAACCCCGATCAAAACATGCCGCACCCTCTGGCACATCATTCATCACCCACTCATGGCCTTTCGGAAAGTATATCCCGTTCCGGGGATGCGGAACCCAGCTTGACGAGTCATAAACGTTACCCTCGTTATCTCCTCTCCTTGATTTCTCCCCCAAATCCCCTCCCGCAAGTCTACTCAAGCTACGCTCTCCCCGCTTTGCTTCCCTATACACACAAAAAATTTAGAATATTCTCAGGAACTATGGTATATAATATAGAAAACATTATAACCTCATTACCCAAGGAGAAAAATCTTGGATCTGCCGATCCTTGCTGCTATTGCCATAAGCCTGCGGATATCAATGTAGAAGTGGAGGAGGTCTAGGGGCAATTTATATAGTGGGGTTTTTTT